CATTGTTCCAGCGAAGTCGAACGACCATGGCGTTCAGGTCTGTGAATCAGGGTGTCGGAGGAGGCTTCTTCCCCGGCTCGGACCGCACCAATATCATGCTGAAACGACGTTTCATTCAAATCTATTTCACCATGATTACAGAACATGCCAAGGAGGCGGACGACTCATCCAGCAACGATGGGCCGGATCGCAAGAGGTGAGTGAGCTTTTTGTCAATCCCAAATACCCCTTACGAATGCTAAATTTCGGAGCAGAAGAGCCAGATATGTCTGACCCCTCGCTGTCACAATGATTATATCAACTCCTGACCAAGAATATCAGAATGGCGGATGGTTTCATAAGCCGTCGATTTGGGAATATTATAGCGGGACAGAGAGATTGCGGATCCCAATCTGAGACTCGAGCTGATTCCAGTTTCGCTTCCAGGTCACAATTGAAGTGCTCGCCAACGGTGCCATACAGATGAGTTGGAGAGTTCGAGGCAAACAAGAAACGGTTCATATCGGATTGGATGTCCTGGATAATAGGTCGGTGTTCGTTTGTGATTCGTTCTCTACTCTTTGTGTTTCATTGAACCCGTTCTGGAACGCAATACTTTCTCCGAGCCTGTCTTTCAATCACTTAATTCGTCGCTGCAACCATTTTTGAGCCCTGTAGCGCCTTGCCGTGCGCGGACTTGTCGGGCGCTCATCGCTCATCGGTGTGTGATTTGAAACAAGTCATTGCGACTGAAAGCCAAACACGAGTGTCTTCAAGTGTGGCAGACGAGCAACTCGTCTCTTTGACGAACTTGTTAGGAGTGTCTAGCTTGTCTGACCTTCTCCGCGGCTCGCATGGACGGCCACGGACTATCCATTAAGCTTCTCAGTCAACCTGGGACCCAGCTTCCTCGAAAATCCAGAACACCCGAATCGGGGTGTTCGAAGGGAGTTTCGCGGCTCTTCAGCCAGCGTCTGAGCATTAGGCATATATTTTCCGCGGGATAGAAACGAGTCTCATTCGAAGAAAGTAGAGCCGATGTTTTCCTCTTCAGATGGCACGAAGTCGACCTCCATCGTCGACTAGGGACACTGACGCTTCGTGTAGACAATTCGTCCTTATTGTTGGCTACAACGAACTCTTTGAGGCCGTATCTGATCCAAGAAGCCCTACAGCGTAATCCTTCGAAAGCCGTCGATCTTACCACGGTGGTCGGCGATGAATTCACGGGGTGAGTTGAAGTTGAAAATCCTTTCGGAAATTTATGAGAAAGATCGACGACGGACCCTCTGGACGGGTGCGGGAAGAGTTCACAACCGCCGTGCCCATTGTGAAGCTTTCGGAACTATAAATAGATGTTTTCTCGAGCTCTTAGGAGAATAATTTCCCTTTCCGAATGTTTAGGTGCATACTGGAAGGCGCCGGAGTGGAGCTAGGGCAGGTGGTCAAGGTCGCCGGCGACGTCAAGCTGGGCAACAAGTGCTCGAGTCAGTTCATCGAAAGCGACACTTGCCGTGAGTGCGATTTCCAGACTCTCTTTTTCTCCCCCCATATGACAGGCGCTCCTGAGTTACTCAATAGTTTGAATAATGAATAATGATGAATGATGCATGTTGATAACCATGAACTATGAGATCCGCTGTCGATACCAAGCACTGAATCGAGATCTCGATGCTTCATATTCTCCGCATCTCTGGTCCCATAGCTTACCGTGGGCCCGTGGCTCATCTGCAAGCTCCGGCGGATCCAGAATTTTCCTCTCGCTCGATGGTGGAACAGAATATGTTATTCGCGCTGTCTCCAGGCGTCGGAATATTCCGTCCATTGTCTGATTATTTTAGACGCAATTTCGGTGGGGCATTTTCACCAATGCCGCATCAAATTTCTTCAAAGATAGAATTTTCAATATGTTGCTCAACCTTGGCCTCAACAATCTGGACACGTCTGACCCGGAGCCTTTGTTGGAACCGTTGTCGATGCTAGTTCTGTCGAGGAATTATAGAGCTTTGCATAAGGACTACAAAGTCACACTGACGTGGTCTCGTGTTTCTGGCACGTCTTTCCGCTTTCTGCCGCTCGACGGATGCCGAGAGCGAAGCGCACCATTCGAAGGTCCGTCATCCCCCTCGAATACTGGAAACTCTCCCCTGAGTGCTCCAGCATCGTCGTGGAAAAAGCCGGTATCCGACGATGCACTCAGAACGGACAAAGAAGGCCCCTGTACTGGATTTTCCACGATTTTCGGAAGCGGGTTCTGGCATCGAAGTGCAGGGAGTTCGACGGTCGCCAGAATTTCGAGATATCGATCTGGGCAGGTAGTCGAACCTCTGCCGGAAACAAGAATCGAAGTCTCATGATCCGGATCGCTCGCTCGAACGAACGCCGTTCGATCGGGCCACCGTCGAGCCGAGGTCGAAATTCTGACACGACACCGATGTCCATTTGCGCGTAGACGTCGTCTGCCCTCTTATCCCGCGTTTGCTGGAAGCGATTTCTCCACAAAGTTCAAACCCGCAACCGGTTCATTAGAATTGTGCGGGTCGTGTCGCGGGTATTTCCAGCATCGGATTCTGTGGAATACGAGCGATATTTCTCCGGCAGTGGCCACAAACTATTTTTTTGAATTCTCGAACAAGAGAGCGCACTCTTCTCCGCCGCTTGTAGCTCCCCGATTCAGACCGCTGTGCTCGTCTAATATTTGAAATTCATGTGACGAGCACCGTCGACCAACGGCCGTTGTGAAGATGCAGTCGAAGTAGAATCAGAAGGAAGCATCTGACAAGCACGAGAAAAACTTCAGGTGAAACATTATAGAAGGCAATATGCAGCAACGACGATACCGCCACCAGCCTCCTGGTCGTGAACGCCACCGCGACCGTTGTTGTTTCCACTTGTTGGCAAGGAACGAGGAAACGGACACTCTGTCGTTTTGCAACTTCACTTCTGGCTCTGGTCGACTGACTGACGGACGGACGGACTGACTGACTGATGGATAGATGGGCTGGCTGTGTGAGGCTCGTTGCCTCACGTGAGAGTCGAGTGTTTGCTTGACTATATCCGTCCCGATGCTAATCTAGTCCCCTACAACCAGTAGGTCAGCGGGTCTTCTTACCACGCACACTGCCCAACGGACAGGCTTGGTCTGCCGGGCGACCGTTCGTTCGCTCGTTCGTTCTTGCGGCGACACACGGAGACAATGTCTTGTAATTCACTTCTGGACTTTCGGTGCTTGCCGCTCGGTGAGTTGCCGGCTATGTGTCCCGAATGGACAACGACAATGATGACCACCACCGCGACGAGAATTGTGCGCTACCGCGGATAACTCCGCCGGCTCCTTCGCACGCTCGCCCGCTTCCTTTATGAAGTGGAACTGTTTCCACAATTATTATAAGTTCGCTCCCCGTTACTTTTACTCCAACGTCGGAGAGTGGCGACCGACAGAAAATTCCGCGGTTAATTCAAGCCCTGATTAGGTCCTTACTGCCCCGGATCGGAATCCTCCCCGGGACTTCCTAGGACGTCCTGGGAGCCCCTCTCGTCATGAGGACGGTCGGTGTCGGAGCGCACAGTGACCCCGAGCACCCCCTCCTCCCGCATTTTCGGCTTCGTCGATTGCACGGAAGCTTCGACCCCGGGGTCCTTCTGAGCTCTGTATATTATGCAAGCTCTTCAAAGTCGATGGTCTGTCCCAGCCGGATTGTAGTAGACTTCTAAAGGTGATACAATCGCAAGTGAACTCTCTCGAATGGTCGTTCACCGGTTAGATCTCGACCGGAGTGGGTGATCTAAGAGTTGCGTGACATCGTAGAGTATGTAAACACAGTCCCGTTTGTGCGCGGTGGTGGATTTCTTTTCTCGTCAAAGGTGAAAAAGGAGTCAAGGGCTTTCGTTGTATCAGTCGGTCGACTCGTTCCTTCGTCACTCGCTCACTCGTTGGCTGGACCGAATGACTGCTGGTCAGTAGTGTGGCTGGCCCGACCGGCATCGTTGTCGTCGTTGATGAGGATCTTGATGATGGGCCAGCTCTGTTCATTGTGTATTGTGGGCGGTGAAAAGAAGAACGCCGACCGGGGAGCGACGGACGGATTGCACAGATTAATAACACATTGGACGTTCGAGAGGGAAATTCGTCATCGTCATCGATACACTTTGCTCTTCAAAGAGAGGCAAGAAGAGGGGACGAGAAGCCGTCGATGTAGTTAGTAGTCGATGCCCGAGGCGTAAGATGCAGACTCTGACGTCGAGACCACCGCGTCGGCATTCTCATTCCAATACTCATCGATTTAGCGAACTCGCTCAGCGCGAACGTGCACCGTGCGCAAAACTGATTTTATGTCCCCCTCGATGGACTGGAGAACTTGTTCCCCGCTCGGAAAACCCTCGCCACGCGAGTCGGCTGAACTATCGGGCCGAAGTAAAAATCTGTAAAAATTGAGGTTTCTGATCTCTCACGGCATGCCGCACTGGAATACAATCGTCGATTGTCATATTCTCTCATGTGAAACTCGGAGTCATTGAACCCAGTGGAAAAAGCGTGAAACCGCGCGCATGATGAACACATTTGAGCGAGTTAAGGGCTCTGCCTGGGACACTGAGTTTCGCACATTTCGCGAGTGAAGGCCGTCGAAGAGCTGCACGCGGGCGATGACCGCGCTTGCACGCAGAGCGGAAGCACGAAGCGCCGTTGTTCGGGTCACCTGCAGTTATGCTTCTTCCAGTTGCTCGTATCGAAGAGTCTTCTGGAAACGAGCGTCCGTCGGAGCAAGTATACGCGAACTTGCTCCTCGCCTGACAAGAATAGAGCAGCGCAGAATGCCGTTTAAACACGCGACCAAACAAAAAAATCGCATAACAATGACTGACCGGCCCGTCAGCCGGTCTTCGTTTGTAATTCCATTATTACTGGCCGATGCTCCGTCTTCTGATACGGTGCGCTCGGAGCTGTGTCCAGCAGCAGCTCATTCAGTACCACCGAGCTCGCTTCGGAAGAACGTCGACGCTCGGGAAGAGTCTGACCGTGTGTCGATTTTATAAAAAGTCAAAGAAGATGGAAAAGCAGACGTCCATACCGCGTCTGCTCCATGCTTATCTCCTATCCACGTTTTCTCGGTAGACGGCACCGGCGACAAAGCTGAATACACTGGCAACGCTTCTATGCCGCAATAAATACTCGGAGCACGACAATGCAAGCGCTTATGCTCCTTATAATTGAAAGAAAAACTTGGGGAAAAAAACCCGGCGCCGCGCCGACGGCCGAAAGCGGAAGAAGTAAAGTCTCTTCAGTACGGGAGATCAGAGCTCCGGAAGAAGAGGTCGCCGTCGCTTACGATTTCAGAAAGGCTCCCGCTTTTCCTCCAAGTTATCAACCGAGTGAATGTGTTTGGTCAATAATTCGAGATATATTTAATTGCAGTTGGCTACGGCATCGATCCGTGCTTCTCCTTCATCTGCGAGAACGGAGGAACTTGTAGAGCTGCTGGCGACACCGCTGAGTGCCTCTGCCCGCGAAGGTTTGCCTTAATTCCTCATTCTCTTCGCGGAACAATTTGCGATCGCCATGTGGTACCTCACTCATTCGTTGCCTTCGCTCAGGTACGCCGGACCTCGCTGCGAAATTGTGCAGGGACCGCTCTGCAAGGCCGAAAGCTGTCTGAACCAGGGAACGTGCCATGAGAGTCCGGATGGATCCTCAACCTACTGCGAGTGCAAGGCTGGTTTCTTCGGTGAAAGGTAAGCGATCAGTTCGATTCGGCACGAAATCTTGAGGCCCCGAAGCCCACGACTGATCTTGTAGAGATCAGAGGGAAAGAAGGAAATAGACCCCGAGTCGATCTCCCAATTGAATTCGTTCCCACTCAAGGTGTGAAAAACCAGCGGCGCCATCTCTACATTGTGCCAGCGCGCCGTGTGCCAACGGAGGTCGGTGTCACGCTTCCGAAGACGGCGAAAGTTACGAATGTACCTGCCATCACGGTAAGAGTGGAGAATTTTACTTTCCGAGAACTCAAGACAGAAAGGGCGTGATAGTGCATGCGATGTTCGTAGAACACGACGGCTCTGAGAGTCGAATCGGGCCAAGCAAGAGCCGGTCGAACCAGGCTGGGTTGACGAAAGCTCATGTTCCGACATTCCGTCCCGAGCGTACAATGCCGCAATCTTTAGAACGGAGCGTTTTTCTGTCAGGAAGCCCGACCGTCTCTGTGACTGTGCTTGTGCGTGAGGGAGAGAGAATATTCATCCAGTTTGCAAGAATAGACCGTGATATTTTGATGAAGTGACGCCAACGGAAACTGGCAGTCATCCGACAAAAGGAAGAGAAAACGGCTTTCACCTCCACCCTCTCGACCCTTTGGATGCTTCTTTGACAAACCTGTTACGGCAGAGCTTGGTCGGAGGGAACGTCCGGCGTCCCGTCTGTCTTGATGGCGGGATGAAAAGGTGGATTGATGGAGAGGTGGGCAAACTCACCAATGAATGGGTCGATTGATCGACTGATGCACTATGCGATCGGGCAGGACATCGTACGGACGCATCCCAAAGAGATGAACTAACAGGCGATGCTCGGAAATGCGTAGAGTGATGCCTTGTGGCGGGCCGAAGCGATAATAACGGCTCAGCCGAAAGGCGTAGCTTCCATCTTCTTTTTTCCCTGGTGTCGGCGGTGATAAGTCACGGAGCTATCAAACGACGTTCCCATGCTCTGTGGAAATCCCATCTCTCCAGGGGCAGGCTCAAAATGGAAATGCACAGCCTGACCGACCGACCGCCCGACCGTTCGATCGGCTCGCTAGGTAGCGAAAATAATAACATTGATTCGAGTCTGCCTGTCGGCTGTCGGCACGACAGCGATGAGTAGATGGAGTCTATTCCTCTGGAATGGCCCCAATTCGGAGGATCAGATCCGCGGTGGTTCTGGTCTCCTTTCTCTACGAGAGGTTTTCTGGAACCCGGGTATCCGTGTGGATAGTTCGGATATGCGAATAATGAATACGACATACGAAAATTCTCTCTCCAGGATTCACCGGCAAAAACTGCGAGACCAAAGTCAATAGCTGCGGCAGCAATCCTTGCAGGAATAACGCCACCTGCGTCGAAGCTCCCCTCGGTTACACTTGCCAATGCCGTGAAGGTGAGCACGAAACAAAAAACTTCTATCGCGGTTGGGATCCTCGTTTCTTTTTGTTTCCGATTTTGCCTCACGGCGCTGACAACGATTCACCATCAATGAGACAGCTTCGTGCGCGTTGCGGCTCTTCGTGCAGCGATGGTTCCGACGGGAGAATTTTTGGGGTCATTCAGAGCCGAAATCGAAGTAAGAACGGTCTCTGGATGAGCAATTTTCCCTTCTTCGTTCTCACGTTATGGCCACACCTCTAGGCCGCGAAGAGAAAGTCAATGGGATTTAGGATACGAGGACGTGTGAGAGGAAGTGGTATCGGCGGATCATTGAAAGCGATCTTTCGCAACTGTCAACCAGCCAGTTGGCGAGACAGTCGCGATGAACGCGTCGCTTGTCACCGTTGCATCCATCATTTAAATAACAATAAAACGTGCGATGATGCGCGCGTGCCGTGTTCGGTGATGATCACGCAGTCCGCGGACTGAAATACCGCCTCAACGCTGGGCTTTCATCGTAATTAGAATCGCTTTGTGATTGAGGCGAGCTGCCGCGACGACACTCCGTTCAGATAGATCATAACCGGTAGAACGAGCGCACGACAAAAGAAATAATTGTAACCACCGCTCTAGCGGCAGACAGCCGCAGTACAGGCGGGAATCTAGGCCAAACTTTCTCTTTTGAGCGTTAATGATAGAAAGGATTCGATTGACAATGTTTCATCCATGACGCCGATTCTTAACTTTTTCTTTTCTGCTCGCTTCCCCCCCCCCTCATTCAGGATATCGGGGCATCAACTGTGAAATCAATAGGAACGAATGCACAGAAGACTATTCACCCTGCAACAATCGAGGTCGATGCTACGACCGCTATGGCGGATTCCTGGTAAGATCAATCCCTATGTTGGATTTCTGATTCTATGTATTTAGAAAATACTTTCCATAGTCTGGAATTCCTTGAATAAATGGACATTCGAGTCGGTATGACTTCCGCGTTTACTCCGACCGAGGAGCGTCAGCCCAGATCATTGGATTGTGTCCCTTCGGATAAGACGATGTTGAAGCCATGTCGAAGTATGTTGAGATACATTCCCTGTTATACATCCTTTCCCTGTTTTCAGTGTGTGTGTCAGGATCAGTTCGAAGGAGAACGTTGTGAACGAGCTCTCGACCATTGCTCCAGCAATCCTTGTCAGAACGGAGGGATTTGCAAGTGAGTATACCGAGGCCCGAGACGCTTGCGATGCGCCAAATGCACCCTGTCCGAGAATGTCAGACTCAGTGTTAGACGTAGGGCAGAATAACCGAGACTGTATGAAGTCGTCGCGGCCGAACACCGAAAACTCGATGCGTCTCTCGATGGAGACTTCTAGGAGAGGGGTCGTGGTAGAGATCGCGAGATAGCGGGGTTGCGGTGGTCCTGTCGGCTCGGGAGTTTTCCGCGGGGTGCCGTCTCTCGATCCGACTTTTCTGTGAGCGGTCAAGCGGCGCCGACGACAGATCATGGGAAGTTTCCGTGTTTATTCATTCCCAAAGCTTGGGAAATCTCTCGGACGACTTGTTGAAAAGCATTCAGAGGGCAAACTTTTAATCCTAATACGGAACACGGACTGAGAATGAGTCGAGGGCTGGAAATTTCCCACAAGCGGACAGGATCCAACGAATGGACGATGAGAGCAAAATAAACCTCCTGTTGTTCACTTGCTAGCCAACCGAGTGAGCGGCGGGCCGGTCGTCCGGATAGCTGCGTTAGTCCCGTCAGTGAAGTTCGAAGGTTGTGCGCGTGGAATGACCCTCATTACTGGTCGCGGGATAAAGCTCAATGGATCGTCGCAGAACGTTTTCTGTCAGCCTCCTCGACGTTTGCTTCAGTTCATGGAGACAGTAGCGGCTGGACCGGAAAAGAGTTGAGAGCATTCAGCGGCATCACGTATTTGAAACGTTTTTGAAGAACTTTGCCAGCTTATTGAATGCGCGGAGCATGAGACGGTGAACTTCCTGCCGTCTTTGCATATGTCGCTAGAATTATCGGTGTTGTTAGGCTGTAAGTGCCGTGAGTACCGTCAATGCCGACAAGAGGTTCTATGGGATCCATGCGTTGGGGAAGAAACAAACAAACAACGAATGATTGACTGACCGGCGGACAGGCGAACGGGCGGGCGCGTAGATAGCGCAATTGAATAAAACACAGCGTCGGAGAAAAAGTGCGATGTTTTGAGGAAACGTGGGAGCGAATTGCTCGTCAAGAAGAAATAACTTTCCGATGCAGACAAGCGCCATTCCCTCGAAATTCTGTCGTTTGCTTTCCTCTCGATGTTCTGCTCGTTCAGTAGTCCGTTCGTTCTGGTGTTGGCCGTTTTTTTTCCACTGGTTTTTCAAAGGAAACCAAACACGCAAGGAAGAAAGGGACTAGATATCGGAAAATGAGATCTTTTCTTTTCCGCCGACGCGAGCCGGCTCCGCCAAACACGAAAGAGTCAGAGCAGCAGCCTAGCCGGGCTCGATGACTTTCTCCTGCTTTTGTGACAGCCTTATGGATCCTCAAGCGGGCTCGACGCTTGCCGAATGTCGAGGCCCTCGATGATGCGCCCAGTCGTGCCGCCGGTTATAAGTTGACGCTCCGGCGGGCTCTGATGGGGAAAAAGGGCAAACACTAAGAGGATCATTATGACCTGACTACGTCATTCACCTTAAACCACGGCGGCACCCGAGGCGTAGAGCTGTAACCTCTGTCGAGTTGCGGAGAAAGTCATTTTCTTCACCATAGTGCGCGTGGGAGAATGATCAGAAGCGATTCAGCAGAAGCCGAATACGGTGTGGAAAAAGCGTGGGGCTTCGGATCTCTAGGCTGAGAGCCGAGAAAGGGCTCAGCTTTCACGGTCAGTCGCTCTAACCGTGATTAGGAAACCACTGATGCTTTAAATCCGATTTCAGGGGGGTTATATCAGGATTCCAATGCGAGTGTCCCCAAGGATTCCAGGGGGACAACTGTGAGATCTCCAACAATGATTGCTCCCGTAAACCCTCGGGCAAACAGTGCTCCGATCCCCATGCAGCTTGCGATGCCAGGAGCGGACGGTAAGGATAAATATTGAGGAAACTCTCGGGTTCGGTACATTGCGAACGCAGGGCTTCAGCGCATAATCTTCTCGGAGCTACCGATCGGGAGAGGAATCATCCTGCCGAATGCTCTTTGGGATAATCCTGATCCTAAACTCTCCCTTTTTCGTTAAGCTGTGAATGTAAGCCGGGATACGTGGCCACTCCGGAGAGCCAATGTTTACCGGCGAGATCGTGTTCCGACGAGCCATGTTTGAACGGAGGACATTGTTCCGGCAACGGTTTTGCCTATCAGTGCTCTTGTGCAGAGAATTTCGCCGGACGTCATTGTGAATATCAGAAACAGGTCAGCCGGGATCGTTGCGATGACTCGACGTGCGCCAACGGAGGAAGCTGCGTCCAGGGAACGTCCGAGTGCGCCTGCGTCCCCGGATTCGAAGGTCCCAAGTGCGAAACCAACGTCGACAATTGTGCAAAGAACATATGTGAGAACCACGGAAGATGCATCGATCTAGTCGATGACTTCATCTGTAGCTGCGCCCCCGGTGAGTCAAGAATCATCTTCCGATCGCCTACGGGCCTGCCCGTCCGAGCTCTCGAGGCAGAACAATGGTAGCCAATGCGGAGCGTTTCGAGCGCCCGAGGCCAATATTCAGTATTGCGAAATTCAACCTTTGCTAACTATTAGGTTTCATGGGAAAAACGTGCAAAGTTTCCATGGTTCCGGTGATTTTCCATCGGGGCGATCCCTGCGCGCTTCATAATTGTGGACCAAACGGAAGGTGCGTTGAAGTCGAAGGCGAAGCGAACTGCGAGTGCAATCCTGGCTTCTTCGGTGAACACTGTGATCTTGGGAAGGAGTCGTTGATCTCATGCAACTGTAAAAACAGCGGAAGTTGTAACAATCAGGGAGAGTGTATCTGTCCGGAGGGTGAGCGTCCACATCTCCGAATAATGGTCCAACCATTTCCCCATGGTGGCGCGTGCATACGCCGATCGAATATTATAATTTGCCGAATCGAACTTATGCACTCAAATCTCCATGATTTCCTGCCAGGTTATCACGGAGCCCTTTGCGAGCATCAATCAGACGCCTGCGATGAAGCTCCGTGCTTTAACGGTGCGAACTGCACCGCTAAAGGATTGAAAGACTTCGTCTGTTCTTGTCCTCAGGTACGACGTTCTTCTCATCGCAGCATTTTTCTGTGATGAGAATTCGACCTCAGATATGGATCTAGACCAAATGAGTACATTCACTAATAGTGAATGTACTCATTTCTGAACTTACATCTCTTAGTTTTATGAATGAATTTAAAATGAAGCGAAGATGAATCAAGCAGAGTTTTGCTTCTAATAGGGATACACGGGCAAGATGTGCGAAATCAATATTGACGACTGCGCCAATGTCACTTGTCCTGGTAATCAAAAATGTTACGACCGCTTGAACGGCTACGAGTGTCGATGCCCAGAGGGCTTCCGAGGTGAAGCCTGCGACCAAGAAATAAACGGCTGTGAACCGAACGCATGTCACGAGGTGAGTTTATTTGGCTTTTTTTCTCCACGGCACCAGCCGCCCACATCAAAGTTGCTTTTTATGCTTATGCTCATTTTCGAAAGCCCAGAGTCCTCATGAGCGTGTTTTCAGGGCGCCACATGTGAGAACCGTCTGGGAAGACCAATATGCCATTGTCCGCAAGGAAGAGCGGGTGAAAATTGCACAGAAGTGAGTACACATCCATCTTGGCGCTCGGTCGTCAACTGCAGAACGTGTCATCGACCGAGATGAATCGACAACTGAACCGAGAAAATTTCCAGGTTGTGTCAAAATGCTCCCCCGGACTGTGTTCTAACGGGGCCGTATGTCAGAACACGGAGGAGTCCTATCAGTGCTTCTGCCGACCGGGTTTTACGGGAGAGCACTGCGAAATCGATTTCAATGAGTGCTTGAGTGCACCATGTCAGAACGGCGCTTCTTGCAAAGACATGATCAACAGGCAAGTGGAAAAACAGATCTCGATGATTCAAACGACGACGACGTCTGGTCTCCTCCGAAGGTATACCGATCGAATAGGACGCATATGAATAAAATCATCCGGTTCTCCCCCAGGTTCGCCTGCCAATGTGCACCGGGATTCACGGGACGTCTCTGCGAAACGGATATAAACGAATGTGCTTCGGATCCATGTAAAAACGGAGCCACCTGCAACGATCGGATCGCTCAATACACATGCTCGTGCTTACCTGGCTACACCGGCACAGATTGCGAGACCGATATCGACGAATGTGCGGCGTCGCCCTGCGCGAACGGACAGTGTATGGACTTGGTCAATGATTATCGCTGCAACTGTACCGACACAGGATTCAAAGGCCTCCGGTGCGAGATCAACATCGACGATTGTGCGGAGCTGCCGTGCCAGAACGGCGCCACCTGCGAGGATCTCGTCAAGGAGTTCCGATGTCTGTGCAATCCTGGCTTCGTGGGAAAAACTTGCGAAACCGATATTCCGGAATGCGAGTCGAGTCCGTGCTTGAACGGAGCCACTTGTCTGGAGCGTTCGAATCGGTCGCTTTACGCACACAACTATCTGAACTTGTTCCCGTCGTACAACGAGAGTGATGCCGCGGGCTACGTCTGCGTCTGTCCAGCTGGCTTCACCGGAGTCAATTGCGAAGTCAATATCGGTTAGTGCTCTGGTGTCGATTGTGCCAGTCGCTCGGAGGAACTGTAGAGAGATATTCCCATAGTAGAGTTCCGGATCTCAGCGATGGGTCCTCTTGCGATTCCAGATGACTGCGTCAACCATCAGTGTCGGAACGGGACTTGCGTCGACGAAATAAATTCGTACAGGTACTGTTCACGGCTGGGACATTTTCAACCGGTCCGATCCCGATGTATCTGCGCCCAGACCGGAGCTAATCGTTCGTCGTTTCTCCCGGTAGATGCGAGTGCCAACAAGGATTCGAAGGCGAATTCTGCGAGCTCGAAATCAATGAGTGTGAGAGATACTCGCCTTGTGCCCATGGAGATTGCGTCGACCTCATCGGAGATTACAGGTGGGTGGTCCCTTGCTTCTTAACCGGGCTGCTTTGAGTTTTTTTCGAGCGACGTCGACCGCAAAAATTCCCGACCGAGCCCCGATCCCCGCAAGCGGGTCTCATGAACAGGACGATTTTTTTCCCTCAGCTGCAACTGCCGACCCGGATTCGGAGACAAAAATTGTTCGACTGCTCTCATCGGATGCGAACGTCACGAATGCTCTTCTCACTCCAAATGTGAACCCTTCTTGGACGGGGACGGTCAGCATCAATATCGGTGCCTCTGCGACTCAGGTTTCGTCGGCCGGCATTGTGAAACCGGGACGACGGTGTCTTTCCAGAAATGGAACTCTGCATGGGAGTTGCAGTACACGAGGCGTGAAGACTTCTCGATGTCGTTGTACTTCAGGACATCTCTCAGGAACGTCCGAGTCGCTGGAATCAACACCTTCCTCGGTGAGGGTCGGAGCCTGGTGTCTGATGTCCTCTTTGGAGGAATCGTTTGTCTGTTATATGTGAAAGCGAGCTCGCCGAGACAGGCCTTATTTTCTAATGAAAAATGACCCTTCAGGATCCGATACTTTTGTGAGCCTCCAACGAGGTGTCTTGGTCGTCACTCAGAACTACAAGGACGTTCTGCGCCTCGGAGAAGGCCTGAACGATGCTGAATGGCACAACTTCACTCTCGCAGTCTCAGCACAGGGCCGAATCGAGATCTTCATTGGTAAGCATTGAGCTCTCGACGAAGCGAATCAAAGAATGAAGAATCGTCATCCTCGCCTTCGGCGGTCCTCTAATCATCTCTCTGATTCGCTGAACTTTCCTCCTTGAAGGAACCCTGCATGGAGAGGTCGAAGGATCTCTGATAGGCGCCAACGTGACCAATGTCGTCCTGGGCTTCTCTGACGTGGCGACCCCGGGACAAGTCGACGGCTTCTTAGGCTGCATGCAAGAGGTACGTGGGTCTTCCTGAGAGGCTCGATCATTCCGATATTGGCCGAATTCAATTCTGCCCCCTCAGCGGATATAACTGGAGTTTTCCGGAACAGATTCGGGTGAACGATGAGCTCATGATACCGTCGCGGCAGCGAGAGCATTTACACGAGACGTCGGACGTTTGTATCCGCACACCCCAGTGTACTCAGAATCCATGCCAGAATGAAGGGGAGGTGAGTATTTGGAGAGGAGACAACTCGTCTGCATAGATAATGTCTGATAATCACCGCGACTTCCCTTCGCCTTTCTCGCATCCTTCGATCTATATGGAAATCAAAATTCTCGTTTATGTTCCAGTGCCACGATGAGTGGTTCAGCCGCTCTTGTCTCTGTCAGAGACCTTTCTATGGACAGCTCTGCGAGAAATTCTATCCGTCGGCCACGTTCGGCTACATGAAAAGCTTGTCATGGGTCAAGGTGGGTAGAGAGAATTCCTCGAGAATCTTCTTCGCCGCAGGGAGTTATCGCTACAGAGACATAATTTCTTGAGGAGGACTCTATTTACTGGATCCTTCGCGCATCCCCCACAGGTCCTCATCGAGCCAGAGCAAGCGGAGAGCATATCGCGAACTACAGATATCTCGCTGTTCGCTCTGACGAGGAGCCCATCCGGACTCCTTTTCTACATGGGAACAGATCCTGCTCAACAGCCCCAAGACAGCTACCTGGCTGCGGTCCTGGACCAGGGTCATCTGAAGGTCATATTGAAGTTGGACGCGGTCGTTTATCAGCTGGCAGTTGACGGTCCACGACTCGACGATGGTAACCTACACTTCGTTCAAGTAGAAAGGAGTCAGAGCTCGCTCAAGGTCACCGTGGATAAGGTAGGGTGAACCGAATCTAGAATGCCGATACCGCCAGGGTGTCGCTTTATTTGAGACAGAGATTAGGACGTGGTGTTAAAAAACTGTTCTCCAATCAAGACCAACCGGAGTCTACCCCTCAACGGTGGGGTACTCAAAGTCAGCGAGCTTCACCTCGGATGGATGAACACCCACACGAGAGAAACGCAGAAGACTCCAGCGATCCCGGCGACCTCGGCACAAACGAAGCCGGTGACCCTATTGAACCAAGAGACAAGTCCAGTGATCGCCACATCACCGGCCCCGATACCGATCAAGCTTCCGACCGAATCGGTGCTATCGACAGTCACGGTTATTCCGAGGATCGTTGCTCCGGCCCCGGCGAAGCCCTTGGTCGCGATTCGGAAGAAACGACAAGTCGAGGGTGTGACTGATCCGAGCGGCAATACCCCGAATTTCAAAGGAATCCTACAAGACGTTCGCGTCGGCAACCAGCACGTTCCGTTCACTCTCCAGAACGTCGAAGGCTTTCGCTTCGGCAAAGCCCTTGAGCGTCAAAACATAATCGAGGGCAAAATGGGGGACCCAGTCTGTGATTCCAGCCCGTGCCATAATGGCGCCACTTGTGTCGACACGTTCAATGCTTTCGAATGTGTCTGCACTCCCGACTTCAGGGGCGCCCTATGTGAAGAGCTCAAGCCATGCAGGTGAGAAATCGATATCCCATAGGGTCCGAGTATCCACCCCGACACAAGCACAAGAAAATCTACGTCTATCCCAGGGGCGTCTGACGACGATACAAAAATGTATTTTCCTCCGCCTACGCAGGAAATTCACTTGTCCTGGAACCTCGAAGTGCCAAGACCTCGATGACGGCTACGAGTGTATTGAAAACGCGTCTTTCGAAGGAAAGACGACTCTCGAATATCGAGCAGTCATCGACGAAACTCTGCGGAAGGACATAAAATCTATCGACCTTAGGGTGAGTGCTCAAGCTCCGCTCCGTCTCTCCGGATTGAATCGCATTGACTTGAATTGAGCTCTCATTGACGCTCTCCCCACCGCAGGTCATTCTGGAATCCGCTGCTGATTTGCTGCAGTTGTCGTCGGCGGGTCAAGTTCTTCGTGTCGGCGTGGGAGCCGACGGGAAAATTCTCCTCAATGCCAACGGTCAAAAGGTATTGATTCCCACCGTGATTTCAATCCTGGGAATTCGCCATTCATATATGGATTCTAATCGACTCAATTATGCCTCACAGATAAGTGTTGGGGAAGTGGTCGTCACCGACGGAACCTGGCATGACGTGCGAATCGACTCTCAGGATGCCAACCTGGTAAGATTCTTCCACAAAGGATGCTGGGGTTTCCATGAACGCTTACTTCCCGGAGAGCGATACAGGCGCGTATCCATGATCTTGCTTAGAAAAGTCTTCAACATTTTCAGCTCAAAATTTCTATCGACGGCAACGACACGATGGTGCGATTGAATTCGACCCTGAACGTCGGTTCCAGTTTGGACGAGGTCAGTTCCGCCCACGGTAGCACTAACCTTGACTCAGAAGGATCTTTGATAGCTGAAAACGCTAACTATTCTGCGCCGAACCTTCGATAATAATTTTCCGCATCATCAGATTCGTCTCGGAGAGCGTCTGAAAGGAGCCCTCGGAGCCGTCCGAATCGGAAATATTCTTCTTCCGTTCTTCGAGGATTCGCAGTTGGCCAATAGCACTACGAAGAACAAATTCGTAATGGTGTGTTGAGCCAAACTTCCATTTGCGTCGAAGATGCTCAAAAAAGACTCACGTTCCTCGCTCAGCCCCTTTGTACCGCCGCTCAAAACTTGTTTCCCCCCCTAGATTGGATCCGGTCGACCGACGCTCGGACTTGTCCTATGCTGGGAAGGCGACTGCGACAACGGTGGCAAGTGCTCAGACCCGTCGAGCTCCTTCCGCTGCGAGTGCAAGGTGGGATGGCAGGGCCTCAACTGTCAGGAAAACATCGACGAGTGCAGTGCTTTGAGCGAGCCCTGTCTGGTGAGTGAATCTCCATGTGCTGCCCAAACTTCGACACAGCAAGCGTTTGACGCTGACAGCTGACCGGTGGCAAACAGCCGTAAGGACTGGGTCACCGGCTAGTCACAATCAGTTTAGAGATTGAGTTTTTTTTCCCACTAGAACCAAGGATCCTGCCGGGACACCGTCGGGTCCTATCAGTGCGTATGCTCCGAAGGTTTCGAGGGTGCGCGCTGCGAGCAACGCATTCTGTATTGTCGGTCAGGACCGTGCCTTAACGGGGGAACGTGTGAAGATACGACTCCGGGAAACTTCACCTGTCATTGTCCTCCCGAGTGGGACGGGGCGAGCTGTCAGGTAATTATCAAGGTCGGATCGGCTCAAGCGATCCCCAATTGAGAGAAAGTAGATTCTGATGTAAGGTCCTCTCGGGTCCAGTCATCGATTCTCGAATTACTGACATATCACTCACGCGCGCTTCCTGCACAGGATCGCCGAATAATCGACTGTTTCTCATCTCCCTGTTTGAACAAGGCGACCTGTTCGAATAAAACACCCTCCGACAAAACTCCGATCGCGGTAAGACTAGCTTCTCGTAGGCTTCTCCGAATTCAGCCCACGAAAAACCTCTGAGAGTTTCTCGCGCTAACGTGGCTCTGTTCATTTCAGTACTCTTGTACGTGTCTCCCCGGTTTCGAAGGACGAGATTGCGAAGTTCCGAAAAACTTCTGCAAAGCTCAACCGTGCCAAAATGGCGGTCGTTGCCAGTCTATTAACCGAGAAGCCACATTCAGATGCAACTGTCCCAAAGGATACGGAGGTGAGGATACGAGATTTCTCCAGTCACGTCTCGACTTTGCTGCTCGGGGAGCGGTTTTCAAAGTTCAAAGATGAGTCGTCTAATCATCTTCCTCTCTGTAGGACATATCTGCGACCACGAAATCGATTACTGCGCCCTGGACGGCTGCGAGAACGGGGGAACCTGTACGAAGCACATCGGGGGCAGAACATGCAATTGCAGCGGAAGTGAGTTCGATCGGCGAACAATGGCTTATCTCAAGTTGGTTGCGCTGAACCCATTTTACGGGAATCGAGGGAAATCGCCTAAAGTAAATTACGATTGCAGCTGGATTCAAAGGAGAGCGTTGCGACCAGGACGTGGACGAATGTCTGTACCAAAAGTGCCTTAACGGAGGGACTTGTAAAAATCTTCGGGGCTCCTTCGAGTGCGTGTGCCCCCCCGAATTCTTCGGTCCGATGTGTGAGTATAGGTCAACTTTCCCGGTCCCGGGGCTCGAAACCCTCTTAGCCTTTCATCGGTGCTATGGCTTTCGTAGAAGAGCTAGAAAATATTCATACGACAAATTCATGAGCTGGCAGCTCAGTCTCGACGAACACAGATCTTGCATATCGTGTGCGCTCGACTTTGAACTTCGGTGTCTTCCAGGCTCTTTCAACAACACCTGTTTCGACCAGAATCCCTGCGAGAACGGAGGCAGCTGCCTGCCCTTCGAAGCGAACGAATTGAAATTCGTCTGTAGCTGTCCGGACGGTTTCACTGGTCAACGCTGCGAGGACGTGAGTTCTCCGACGATATCAATCGGACATCTCTACCTTAGATGGAATTCTCCTCCAGAGTCTGAGTTCGGCGTGCCTCACGGAAATCTACATTTTCACTTCCAGAGACGTACGGCGCTGTCATCATCGGATATCCGATTAATCGTGGGGCTATCTGCAGCTTGCATAGTACTGCTGTGTTTCATCGTCGCCGTCGGTGAGTAGTTTCCCCAGTCGCTGGGTTCTCAATTTATGGTACAAGTCTGCCTCGTGCCGAAATTGACTGTGGATTCCATCCTACCCAGGTCTCTTCTTGCGAGTCGCGAAACGAAAACGGGCCACGCGAGGCACGTATTCTCCCTCACGGCAAGAAATATACGGGTCCCGAGTCGAGATGGCTCACGTAATCAAACCGCCGCCAGAAGAGAGGCTCATTTGAGGTTGTCCGTCCGTAACTCGCTCGACGTAAGACAGAGCAGAAACTGGGAATATGACCTGACCAGTTCCGAACACCGATAATGTACATAGTTTTAGAATTTTGCAATTGTCAGACTTCGTCCGGAATCCAAGACTCTAATATCGGAGCTGCAGCTATACAACACGGATTTTTAATGCGTGATTCCTTGGAGGAACAATCGACTATTTTGCCTGAATGGAAAATTATTTAAATACGCCGACGCCGTCCGTCATAACGAAATTCACTGGGACTTAGTCTTGGCGCTACTTAATTCCTTTGATTTTCGCGCGATTCGGCGCTGAACTTTCGATGAATATGGGCCGACTCCTGCCTCCGTCGGCTGCTTTTTCGGGCACGGAGGGGCACTGCCTGCCTTCAAGAAGTCAAAATCACGGAAAAGGACCCATGTATGCCAATCTTGTGACAGCGTACATGAGTACAAGTGAAAGTTGCCTCGAAAACCCGACCTAGGGTGATGAAATGTATATATTGTCATGTATATAGGAAACAGAAATCAGATACGAGTTTTTAAAAGCCTGAGGCCACCGACCAGCCAAAAAACGCGATTCCTGTAAAAAAGAAGCAAGTATATGATCATATATAGAATCGGGTTTTGCTGGTAAGAGCGACTGAGCACCGAATCTGAAGAAAGCTTCAGGAGGTCCTTCGTTGCTCAATCGAACGGGTATGAGTGAATGAGGAGGACGAGAAAAATTCCCGAACACGGTGTTCTGAGATCATCGTAGTCCGAATGATAAGGAATGCTATCAACTCATTGCAAATCTGTGTACAATAATTCGCTCGAGCTGGAAGGGAGCAATAATTTTAATAAAAGCCGAGGAGAGTTTTCAAAACTGGATGTATTGCATGAGGACGAGTGACTTTCAAACTTTAAGATCCAGAACCCGGGAATTGTCAGTCGTTCGGAAAGAATAAGTACGTGGGAGGCCGATCCATATTTGAGAACAGGTTCGAGGCATCCGCTTTCATCTGAGGACGCTCTGAGTCGAGAATCGATCATTCTCCCGATGTTTACAGTTAAAAGCAGTATTTAGGAACGAACGAAACCAGCGTTCCACGGGGGGCGCGGGAGCATCACTTGACATCATCCGGGATTTCGGATCGGCACATATCGACAACTCCGTCTTGTCTCGTAACGCAGTTTTTCTTCTGAGAAGTGCAGAGATCCGGGAACGGACCGCTCATTATCACAAGCATACAACTCGATACAATTTCGAATCGACTTGCTCGAATCTCCAAAGAGAAGGCGCAATGCACAACCATGAAGAGACCTGAGACAGTTTAGTCCAGTCGATCGAAGTCAATTCCTTATAAGCAGCTCCGTTCGTACATGTACACCTGAAAACGAAGGCGAGAATTTCACTTTTCCTCTTCGGAGAAGCAGGGGGGCGACTACGAGCTCGGCGCACCGTAGGGTACTCACATGGTGCGGTTTGCAATGTCATGATAGTATCTGCCGACTTTCAAATTGAGTTTGCAGTGCTCGTTTATCGACTTGGCAGAGACTTCGTTTGCGTCATTCAGCCTGTATGTTTTGTCGCAGGTGGGGCTGCATGATATCATGTCTCCTGGCTCCACGACCCAGTAGATTCCATCGTTCTTACAGTTCTCTGGAAGGAGTCGTCGACTGTTGTTGATATCCGACAGCTGTGAGTGACACGGGATCATGCCATTTCTCCCATTCATTCAATCTCGAGCATGCCGATAAAGATAGTCGAGCTCACCCAGGTTCATGTCGGTGGGGAAGGCCACAATCAGGGCGAAGAGCGAGGCTAAAACTATAATGAGCTGCATTTTCTAGCTTAGCTTTTCCGCACAACTATCCGGAAGCTCTATTCGCGCGCCTTCGGGAAGCACGGCTCACTGTCAGCTATATAGTGTTCGCCAGAGGCTACCAGGTGGCGCAACCATCGGAGTCAGAGCCGGCCGGCAGCTTCTGCTAGTGGTAGAATCTGAGATGTCGAAACTTTGAACTCGAGGCCGCGGAGGAAGATTCTTGCCGAAGAGGTGTAGAGAATCAGTTCAGTGATCCGAATGTACGTCCACACCGGCAGAGATAGTAGCCTTCATACCTGGCCCAGAACTCGGGAGAGGCCGAGAGAATCGGAGAACATGTGAAGTCCTCGGTCAAGATTCACTTGTCTTCTAGAATCATTCGTTCCGCGTTCGTAGTGGGTAAAGTTTGCAGATGCGTCATGCGAATTCCGAGCGCGGACATCCAAGACAAGAGAGACACGAAGTCTCAGATGACGCGTTCCAAACGGAGATTGCCACCCGCGTCGTGAACCGTGTGGGATCCGACTACGATGGGCGCGACGGGAAGTCGATTCTTCTTCCTGAGCTCGGAGATTCGGAAGCGGGGCAGGAAGGATCGGAAACCGGTCCGAACTCAAGTCCGGGCAAATCTCCTACGAAAACGGTTGAGGCCGAAGCTCTTCGATCTCCGAGATATCCTGACGCTTTAAAACGATGAGACGATTCCGATCCTCGGCGACCGACTCGACGACTCTCTCCTCTTCGCTGCTTATCTCCTCGAGTCCATGCTCCGCTCCCATCTTGAGATCGATCGTCATCGCCATGCTCGCGCTACCTCTAGATACAGACATGTCGAGCGGCCTGACTCATTCTTCTCTTCGAATCACCGATCATTGGGGTCCGAAGAGTCCGGTAGAGCTGAGCGAGTTCAGGAGTTGTTCCAGAGAACCGGCAACACGAGAGAGGGATGAATCAAGATATCATGTATTGAAAATTCAGATAGATCTCGCGTTGTCGCAGGCAAACAGAAAAATTTGAGGACTCAGTATGCCCTTTGATCTAAGGATGCGATCACCGTAGGATGTTGAGAATAAGTTCGTTCGATGACCGGAGCTGACGATTCTCCCACGACGCCCCCGTGGGCATGAGTCATGACCTAAAGCTCGGGGGTTCGGGCTTTCAAAAATGCCGGAAATGGGAGGCAGAGAGGCGCTAGCAAACCTTGGAATCGGCACTGAAACTAGGCAAGATAGGCTTGATGGGAAGGGCAAACGCCGCGCCGCATCGAATCGTTCGTCAGTGCCGTGTTACGAAAATTCACGCGGTTTTTCGTAGTTCCTGATATGAGCATTCAACACCCTAAAAAAAAAATTCGGACCATCGAATAGGAGGTAAGATGTGTTTCCGAAGCCTGGGCTCACCGACCCTACTCATCGCCGAATCTGTTTGTAGACCCCAAATTCCCTCAGGATTCCCGGAATTCAGCGTTTTGGTGATTGAAAGAGCATTCTAGGCATGAAAAAAACCGAATGGGCATCTTCTATCGTGAAGGGTCGAAAGAGGCAGCCATATGCATTTATGGCAAAATTCCTGAACTTTCGAGCTTGAGTCATGACAGTAAGGGAGGCAATGTCCCCACAATCTCAATTTCTCGAAGCTTAGGGTTCCCGGAATCGTTCAGTTAGAGAGTCTTCTCACTCGGTGTCCGTCGATAATGGCAACAATGTGATTCGCTCTTGGGCGCTCGATTCACTCAGGGAATTAGAGATATCGGGGCGGAAGACCTGCCTCTCCGAGCGGGGTGCTGAGAGAAGGTGGGGCTGAATATCAATTAGGTATCAATTTTTGATCCCTCCTGGGGGGTCCTGGAGGCTGTGCCCATCATCGAGCTCCATCGATCCTCCGCGGAGAACTGATTGTCATCTCGAACCCATGTGCGATGCAACACTGTCAGTCGAGGACCCGTCCGAGTAGAGCTTGGACGGGAATACGCTCGAAGTGGCCCATTCGATGGTATACCGAACCTCTCAAGGATGCCGACCACGAATTCTTACAGTCGATTCCGCCGCAAGAGGTATCGTCGATTTACCGGCGACCTCAACTTGATTGCATTGGATTAGCTGAGTTTTTAAATCGGATTCTATACCCACTGAGTCATCGACAATTCGCAGAGCTACCTCGAGGGGGTGCGCCGAGTCGTGCGCGTGAGAATCTACCCAGGCTGCGCTCAGCCCTCGCGATCGGACCGTGCGAATGAGCTCGGGGTTCTCCCATTCACGAGAATGACGCCATCGTGTGGCATCTAGGAGCTAGACCCATCTTGCGTAATCGATTCGCTCGATGATCACTAATTGAGCTAGTCAGGAGCGTAAGAGCAGCTTTAATTATGTGAGACCTTCAGAGTTTGTTGCGATGTGTTCAGATGAATTCTAGAGTAGCTTGTGGCTCGAATCGATCCTTATTGGCTTCGAAAAGTCGGTGCAGCTCCTCCATATATCGCCCATGCAATTCGTCGACCTGCTCGTTCCTGGGGCTTGGATCCTGTGCAACCTCGATTGGTGGCCCAACTGAAAATTAATTCACGATGCCCTGTCTTATCCTAGCGTTTCGAAGCAGTCGCCCCCCGAAACTCTGTCAGAGAAGCGAGGGCAATCCGGTGATATCGGATGTCAGTGCGAGCTCCTCCCTTCCGCTCGCGACTCACAGACTATATTGACGGGCTTTCTGAATGGGAAGATAGGTATCGGGACACCGAAGACGCTACGACCCTTGATCAAGGGAATCGTCGCTCTGGTCCAAAACTTGCAGAAGTCTTGGCACTTCCTCCCGAAACTTCCGGGAGCAGTCTTGACGATGGGAAGTCCGTCGTTCTCTCCAAAACTGAAAATAGGCACCAGACACGACCTGGAATGTGGTAGGCTCGCGTTTTAGATGCTGCTCGCCGAAGGGAATGTATCGTCTCTTCCTGAAGCCACCCGATCCGGGCCTCCGAGGATAGCGCTTCATTGCTAAACAGACTACGCAAGAAGAAACTCGCCCAGAGATGATGGCCTCCCTCACGAAGCCTTTCCGATGTCGCAATATCAGTCGATATCTGCTATTTTCAACTTCCAATGACTCGGCGGCGCCACCGATCGCGATGAGAAGCATGCGGCCCGGTCTTTTCAGCAGGTGGCGGATCGTGGCGCGATCCACGTTCACACAGCCTGGTGGACGTTGGAAAATCGATAGTCGCCTCCTTCAAGGAGTGAGCGATGCACGATCCGCTCCGAAAAGCCCCTCTAAAAGATCGATGATCGATGAACGGGCGCCAGATAACTCACCGAGCAGCAAGCCGACTTCGCGCATTATGGGCGACCAATGAATGAGTCCGAGTGAGCATAGCGAGGCTTTTATACCGGGGAGTTTCTGGATGGAGGAAGTTCTTTGGGAATGCGTTTTGGTGAGTTGCAGAGAATGCGCTAGTCCCCATTCTCTCTTACCTGGTCTTACCTGGTCAATGTTCAGACCGTTACTCAACACACCGAGAACGGCTCCATTCGGCATGACTCCATGTGGATGATAGCCGCAAATGTATGTCTTCTTCGGATCGTATCGATGGACTATATGAACCCGCATCGGAAAATATTCACACGCCCAACGCCAACAAGACCAATGCCTGAACCACTCCGAACGGATTGCACCTTCTAGCAGTCAAATTGAGTGACCTGAGTATTCGGCATTCGTTATGAATTCCTCTTCCATCCCGATCTAACTCACCTCTCGGTAAGCTGAGATTGTCGTATATCACCCACAGCACGTAAGCGAGCGTCAAAAACCAAAATCTTGTCCACAGAGAATAGATCAGCACATAGTATCCCGTAATGCCGCTGACGAAATAGACATACATCACGTAGATTGCCGAGATCGTCCGACAGGAGCTTCTCAGACACATCACGGGGTCAAGCACCGAGAGGAAATTTTCTTCCTAGAGGCTGGGGCGAGCGGGGAATCGAATGCTTTGATTAGGTCGCAGACCGCGACCGAATCGACCAATTCGCCCGTCACGTCGTAGTTTCGGTCGGTCTCGCAGCGATCGGGTCCAATCAAAGTTAGGACCACTTCTTGGACGAGTTGTAAAATTGGGCAAATTAGATTTCTGCGACTTTTCGTTCAGACTGAGCATGCTTTCTAAAGCTACGCCTGCCATCAGGCGACTCTGATGACGTCTATCGAATTCCTCCCCGCGACCGACACGACTGCAATCGAGACGGGAGCGCGGGATCCCGGTGCTCACGAGTAGGGCTGCGAATCGACCGCGATCAAGTCGCGGGAAATCGCGGAACCGCGTGATTTGCTCAATATTGCGGGCAAGCTCGATATTTGCTCGAACTGCGCGGGAAGAGTGGCTCCTCAGAACGACCGTGCTTCAAGAGCTCTTCCCGCGTAGCGGACCCTGATTCGGCTGCATTTCCGAACTCGCGCCCAATTTGACCATTAGCTGAGAGCTCTCCGTTCCTCGAAGAGTTTTGGAGCATTTCGATTGCCTGAACCCATTCCATGATCGAAGTCCATTTTCTGTGCTTTTTTTGAGAAAGATGGACGCATGGTGACGCGAGTGACTAATGCTCGAAACCGACGGAATTCGCGGTTTCCGCGGATCCCGCGATTCTCCCGATCCTCTTGCAGCTTCCTCATGAGTCAACAGGGTGAGCAGTCGTCCCCAGCCTAGATTGCAGATCCATGCCGTAAGTGCCTCCGAGACCATCGGGGTAAATGATAGAACCATCTGCAGCCTCTGCGTTCACTCGATTTATTCTTTTGTCAAACTGCTTTTATACAAAACACATTCGTTTTCTCCGAGACTGTCTTCTCAATCACCTATCGTTCTTCGACGAAATAAATAATAGTCTTCTCATCATAGTCGTAGGTACATACCGTTCCCGTATCGAGAGGGCTCCTGGCATTCGAATACGCCTATCTGTACTCATGTACTACTGACTCCCTTTCCCGAAGGTGCTCAAATTGACGGATATTGATTCATCCGCGGTCGACTTCTCCTCTAAACGATAAGTTTTGCCCCGTGGCGGCATGAACATTTGTGACCGAATTCCGATTCGATCCCCTTCTGGCAGATGTTGTTGCCCATAGAGCCAGCAGCACATCGAAAATCCCATGGGTGCTCTCGTGAACTGATTGCCTTCTCTATCAGATTATCCTCATAACGAAGACGCCTCGGAACGTTGACATATACCGTCCGCAGCAATAGAGGGAGCAGCAGCCCCCGAGGAGCAAAACGCACTTCCAGGGCAGCTAATCGCCTTACGGCGGGGAACCCTTTGAGCAACTAAATATCCTACGAAGAAGACTCTGCGAAGCATCAGTCCTCCGTATCCCTCCGACATTATTAGTCAACATATCCCGGACTACCTAGAAGAAATCAATTTTACAATCCTCCTCCTATCCCGGTCCCGCTTAGAGTACATTAACCTTTCACAATGGATAAGACATGGCGAGAACCCCTCCTCTCTGTGGTGGCTCGAGCTCTAAGTCTAAGGTTGTTGTGGGATCTTTTCGTGGAGATTCTTGACGCATGCTGGCATGGCGTCACAAACGGGAAACGCTCCCTACCAGTGTTTCGATAGAGATTTTTTCTCGCTCACAAAGAAAACGAACGACTCGGTCAGAATTCGACTGCTGATCCAGCTGGTTCGATTGGGACGCTGCGAAGGATGAGCTCCTCGATGGGATCTCAATGTGATTCCGACGGGTGCCTCGAGTTATTGGTTGGATCCGATCAGGAGGAGCAGATTTTTGAGTATGATAGAGGAGGTGAGCGATGTCCACTAAAGTCGAGGGAAAAACCCTCCTTTGACGGGATGATATCGCTAAATCACAAAGTTGGTCTATGATCTCTCAGAGTTCTCGGCGACCGATGTCGAATCTCTGAAGATCCGGATTTATGGGCAGAGGTCTCCGCGGCCAGGTTCGGGCCAGCCTACGGAAAAAAATGAGTTATTATGGACTCGCGCAACGCTCCGGGAAGCTTTCTTCTCCGCCGATGGTCACGCACCTCATCGCATCTGCGTCAGCTTTAAGCTCATCCAGCTTGAGTATTGTGGGGTAAATATTCTGCTCAATCCATTCTGCAACGGTGTACTCATCGAAAACTTCACGTAAGGCATCGCGTGCCTGTTCGACTAAAACCCTCACGGTATACTGCACGGACGAGAACTCCTCGAGACCCTATACGAAGTAACGGGATGTATCGAATGAGTTTCCGAGCTGGTCTACGGATGGACCCAATTCCCTCACAGAATAATGCATGATGCTATTGATATCTCGGAACGCGTGAGAATAGAGGAAAATTTCTCACCTCGTCTATTCGGTCTATGAAAGTGAAATTCCGTCGAACGTTGTACGGTGTCAACCATGCTTTATGGATCGTGACCCCGTCATAGTATTCGTTCGCTCGCTTGATTGTGTCGCGATGAGTCTCGGTCATTCTGAAGACAGCTGAGCCCGGAAAATTGCATCGGCCCATCGCTGTGTACAGATTTTCGTCTGATTCGAGATCCAGTCTCCGTGAAGAGTCTTGGCAAGCGAGGAGCTTCAACATCTGACTCCGAATGAGATTCTCTTTGCCGGTGAAACCTCCGGCGGTCGCCGACAGCAAGCTCAAGATCAATGACGGAAAACCTGCGATGAAGTCCAACGTGAAGCCGAGTGCTCGGTATCGAAGAGGTAACCAGATCGATTTTGTGGACAACAGTTATTGTACGACTTTCTCGGAGAATTTATATACCTGCTGGGAAGGTCTCCGCCAGCGTTGCGAAGTGATCGTATCTCTGCCATCCCGTGATGACCAGTCCCCGGAACAGCTTGAATTTCTTCTTCTGTTCCTGAATGACCTCTAGCCAAGCCAAATTATTCTCGAGATGCTGTTTCGCATTTGGCACCGTGAGCGTTTCACCGAAAGCACCTGGACATCCGAAAGAAGAAACATTGTACATGTATCATGGGCTACGAGTCGACCCAAATGAGGCTATCGGACTGTATGGGAATACCTTTGGATGCCGACGCGGCCCAGATGTATGGGAAGGTTTCGCTGAAAGTCATCCAATTCGAGTACGGAATGAACCTGTACACGTCTTTGACGTATGTCCAAACCATCGGTTCCACGAGTTCATCGAGACGGAACCTGGGAAGCAGGGCATAGTAAAGATCATCGTTCGTAGTCAGAGCGCTTCCCGGTGCTTAGCATCCGGAGGGACGGAATTTTAAGATGTAGAGCTCGATTTTTCAGGATCGGGTAAACACCTTTTCATTTGTTCAGCACTGAAGTGTCTCATCATGTCGTCCCAGACCAAAGGTATCACCTTGAGATCATTTCGCACGTACGCTGAGAGAGATTTCATAAAATCAGCGCCTCGCCTACACACATCCTTCAGAAAAATCTCTGTGCATAGAATGGTGGAAACTCTGATCGAGTCATTACCTGCGATGTGGGCCATGTGGCCTAACAGAAGCTCGTCTTTCGGCTTCGTCTGGCATATACTGCAGTCTCCGAGATGGAAAACTTCGTCGCATCCAATGTGGAAATAACGAACTTGGAACTTCGAATGCAGAGCCATGACCTGTGGCGAATTTTCATGGTTATATTTCCGCATCGATCATACGGATCACTCCTCGCGAGGAAGACAATCGGCTCTCATGAGAATGTCGCAAATATGGATCCGGATGGATTTTCACAGCCGGAAAATCCCGGAGCTCGAGTCTGACCTGATTCGCCATTTCCTTGATGACATTGAAGGATTCGTTTTTGGATGGACAGATTACTGCTGGGAACTCATCGACTTCCCGGAGGTGTCGGAACTTCTCATACTTGAGCACAAATTCCATGTGACCGAACGTCTGGAGGAGCGGTATGACTTGCAGTTTCAAGTCGACGGTAATGAAACTCAAGAGATCCTCCAGCTCTTCCACGGTGTATGCGTTTCCCGCTCGGACCGGCTCCAACGATCCACTGTATGGGAACATGTCCTCGTACTCCATCATGACTCCTGAAAAATGAAGAGCATCGAATTTCCGGGCATGCTCCTAGGTTATTCCAAGAGCAGAAGGGCGCATCCAATATTCCGTAAGCCCCCATTGCCCAGATATCCAAGCTCACCTGTAGCCCCTGCCTCCTTGAGTATGGGGAGGACTTTCTTCAAATAACTGATCTTCGGCGGAGCTCCTTTGAGATCGAAGTGAACGACTCGGTGTAGTGGGGCCCCCGCTGGAGCAGTCACAGGGTCCCGTAGAGCGGTCTCCGGAAGAGGTCGTTTGGAGAGGAGTGAATTTTTCGTCGCCGCGGGATGCCGGATCGGCTGAGCGTGATCGGAACCATGATCCGACTCCGGAGGCTGTTGCAAATGCGCCGAAAATCTCACCTCGCTCTGTCTTTGAGCTGCGGCTCCGGGTTCCTAGAAATAAGTCGGCCGTGAATTCTACTCTTAATCTGACCAGCGACCCGAGAGAGGATTCATATCACCGTTCGCTTTGGGCAGCAGCCCTCGTACCTTTAATTGCTTATCGAGAAGCCGAGGGACTTTGGGATCGCCGCCGACCTGTGTGTGCTGCACGAAGAGGACGAGGACAGTGATCGCCAATATCGTGAACAGCAGCACGGGTTTGCGGCGCCACGCAGACATCACCAATTGGTGTGAAATGTATCGAGAGGCAGCCGAAATCATTCCACGGGACTCGCTTTCACCTGCAATTGCGTCGAAATCTATTTAGACATAGCAGGGCATGACTCATTAGACGACCTGCGGCCCGAGGAGAATCCAGAGAGCGTTCTGGTGGGTCAGGTGGTCATTTGCACAGATTTGCGATGCTTGACGCTCTGTTTTCCGATTACCCAAGCGAATACATTGTTGAAAGAGCTAAAACTCGAGGAGATTCGCTCACGGATACATCGGGGCTCCATACGTGGGGAACACAGAAAATCTTGTCTGCTAACTCAAATGGCTTTCAAAACGAATGATGCTACGATTCCAGTCGCAAAACAATACCGAGAAGCTCCTCACGAGCCGATGCGAGCTGAGAGCGCTACCCGTTGGTCATAATGGGGTCCCGAAGCGCACAGTCATATGCGCACAGTCGCAGCTTCCTAGTTGTTCAAGGACAAGGATCGTGGACAAATAGGGAAATGCAGCTGCAGCTCATATCTCGGGCCGGATAGCCGTCCGCTCGTTTTGTTGCAAAAGTTATACATGTAACGACGCCGCTCCCGAAAGTTACTGTCTAGCTGATTGCGACTTTCCAGGGCGATTCGCGGCGTAAGCCCTAAAACTCGTCGCAGGAGCCTGAGGGTCGACGCCCGGCCGTGATTCGGAAGGGCTCCCTTCGAGGGCCTTCCCACGCTTTCACACCTAGATTATCGCGTCATTGTTTCCACGATCACTTTACGAATTCCCCTGCGGCTGAGCAGTAATCCATTTTAGGGATTCACTCATAGGTGAGGGTGGTGGCCCCTTCGATTCCGATGTGATCGACGAATGGGTCGAAGCATTTGTAAGTCGTTGATTTGCATTGATTCCTGATTCCTTTTCTTGCGCAAGGAAAAGAGGGTCAGAAGGATCCGAAACACAGAACAATCATGGTGAAACAGCAGACTATAGACCCGTCACCGAGACCGTCACCCAGACTTCAAACAAGATCGTCACCTGCTTGCGGCGTCCGTGGCATACCGGCCGCGAGTAGCCCCACCTTCTCGGAATTGTTCTCCTTATTCATGATGTCGGAGCTCCCGTTCTAAGAGAATGAATCAATGATTATTAGCTTGTCAGGAAGTTGAACGGAGAAGATCGCTTATTGCTGTTGCTTTGCCGTCGTGCGAATAGGACCCTCGAAATGTCAGGCATCAGCTGTTCTGGAAATAGTCGCCGATAACCTAGCTAAGATTGGATTTTCGAAATCAGGTCACAAACTCGAACATCACGTCAAATAAAAGTTTACAGCACAGGCGGGGATCGCACCGCGAAATTCCGTGGAATTCGACAGCTCTACGACGAAGTTTCAGCTTGTCAGCCGGGAACCCTCGTGGATTCTATAGGAATCCCTTCTCTTACCTACATGGTCAAGATGCCAGACAGAAGGTTTTTCTGAATAAAGTTCAATGAATACACGGGACGCATTTCAAGAGATCTGACGCATGTTCGCCGAAAAGCCGGAGCCGGCGACTGGAGGGGCTTCGCGCGGATGCGAACGATGAGTGCGATCAAGGAAACTCACGAGTGGTCCCGGCTGCCCGCGCTGTTCTGAGGCACAGGCTGGGCACGGGAGAAATCCGTTCACCTTTCGACGAGCCAGCGGAGACGCGTTCCGAATGAATCTGATTCCATTGTGGTCGAACCCGTTTCAAACATTCGAAATCAAACGACTCGCGTGACTGATGTAACTCTGATCATGTCGAATTTCTCTCCTAAGTTTCCCGGCTGGATAGTCCATTGACGGAGTCCTCGTCCATTGAGCTCGCTTGTAAAGTCGCCTAACTGGGCGAGCAAAATCGCTCCGTCTATGGCAGCAGCGATCCGAACCTGATTTTCAGAGATATCGAAAAGTGGCGAGACCGACTCCATGGGTATCTCACGAGCAGAAATCTCAGTATTTATGAATTTCCAATCCACACGGCGAATTCGACGTCTCGGCGCACACGCATATCTTGGGCTTCCCGAGCGGGCTCCTGCCTCTCGATGGAAGAGTTTTTTTCGGGAGTAGATAGTGGAGGAGCAAAGAAAATTCGATGCGGAGAAAAGACGCCCTCGATTCACAAAGGCCCTTCTTCTGCGTCGTACCTTCCATCCTGACGAGTTGCTCCGAATTTTCAGATTTCTGTGGATGAATCACATTTGGCGACAACTCTCCCACTCCTCAGGGGGTCCGCCACATCGGAAGAGAAACGCATATTTTTCCTCGAAGTAGGGACCTCTGTCGCGTGTATCTTTCAGAGGGGACCACCCTGACTGGATGTCCCACTTGTTCGACGGCACAGAACACTTCACGTCAGAGACGAGCCTATCATCCCCGGTCGAACGGCTGCATCGGAGCAGGAACGCGATGTCGCGTTATCATCCAGAATATTCAAAGGCGTAAGCCGGCATCGTTTGAAGGGAGCGCTTTTTCTACCGACTGTCGCGGCGCGTGAACGGGATATGCGATATGAAATGCCGATGCCGACTGTGGGAGAACTGGCCGAGTCGGTGCTAATCTTTGCTATTTCAGTCGAACTAGGCACAGGTATCGAGAGATAGTTGAACTCTCGCTCTCAATCGCGTTCGCCCTGCACATCCTCGAGCAATGAGATTCATCGGAATCGACGAAGCTCGCGCTCCGCGATCGAGAATCGATTGATGTCTAGCAGACTGTTTGATTTAAAGGGACTAGCTCACGCTACAGTGGAGAGCCATACATACCTCACGGATCCATGAGAAAAACTGCTGATAACTTCTCGCAACGCGCTGGAATGAGAGAGTTCGATTTTTGAACAGACGCGGCGACGGTGACGGCGGAGGAGGACGCGCGCGTTCTCCAGAGGCTTGTCCGTCTCTACTGCACTTGGACTCTCCGTGCTATGATGTCAAATAGCCAAACCGTCCACAGATCAGCTGCATCTGTTTATTTACAGACCAGGCGGAAACTGGCGCTGCGGAGCGATATACGCGCGGTGGCGCTACTTTTTGAAAACCTGACAGTTGGCTGCTCTCGCCGACCGACTTTGTATCTGTCGGTAGCCCCAGCTAGCCTTTCTGAAGGATGAACGAAAAGTCATTCAAGTTCAGCGATGTCTGCTGACTGCAACCTTCCATCGTCGCACCGCGCATTCTGATAATCGACCTGACCTGTGTGCTCCAGATCAGCTTCAGCTATCAAATCGACCCTCGGGTCCCTTTATCGAGCTCTCGCGTATGATGTCGTCGACTAAATAATGTCCAGAAGGGAAGAACTCTTTGACGCGCACCTACCGCCCTATAGCCATGATTCCGCTCGACTGTGACGTCGAAACCATCGGGATGTCTCAGTCAGACCGATCACAGGACTTCCATCGTCGTTTGAGAGACGCTCCGAAAAATCGACTGCCTGGGGTGTTGGAGTGATCAATGAGGTCGGAATGGGAGCGCGAGGTCTCTGCACGACTCAATGTTGAGGACTTGCCACAATCGGACCTCCGCTCCAGAGCAACGACACGACATCAGATATCGATACTCTTGTGGAGCAATTATAAGTTCAGTTTTTAGTGTTTGGCGGCACCGGGATAAAATCGTAATCCCCTCGCGAATTCGGCGAACTCCAGGGACTTGAATCGCAACATTGACAATGTGCTCGCTCAACAGGTGATTTCTCATCCTGCGAGCCCCTCGCTGCGTATGCGACGCCGCGCGAGCATTTTTCCAAGCGCTAAGCCCTTCGCCTCACCCAAAGAACTCGACACGCAATCTCGATCGAGCTCAAGCAGAACGACGCCGGCTGTAGCGAGAGGAGAGGCCGCCAAGGACCGGAAGATGAGGATGGGAGCCATGTCGATCTAGAATTCTTCCGCCGATGACGAAACAAATATAGACATATGCATCGCCGCTAAACCACCTTGCTCCCCTCGCTTCGACGTCGAGGTGAGCTAGGAAAACAGGTTGTCCCGCGATCTCTTCCTTCCGAAGAGTGGGCCAAACGCCTCGTCTGTGGGAAGAGCAAAGGTGTCAAGAATAGCCCCCCATCAAAGTGGAAGATCATTCCAAAAAGAGGATAGCTGATGCCCGTTCCATGGAAGAGTCGATACAGCCAGCCCGTCGAATTCCCGCGCTGCGGATGCGGATCGCGTTTGCGGTCGATTTTCTGATTCTCACGGAGAATTCGGATCGGAAGGCTAAGTCTCGGTGATATTCGCGTGGATTATTCGCGAGGGAGACTCGGCCTATATCCTGTGCCGTCATTGGATGGACGTCTCTCGGATGCCACCGGAGCTCTTCGTTCCCGCTGAGGGAGAAGAACCCCATCTGAAGTGGGAAAAAAAGTTCATCCACTCCGTTCATCATAGCGCTGCTCGCCGTGCCAATCTAATCCTCGACAGCGAATTCGACGACGATGACCTTCGTATCAGAGGGCTTCCTTGATCTCCGACCATTCGAAGTTCGTGCTTTCAGCGAGGAAACCTGGGCCTCTCATGCATTCGAGGAGGACACGATTGTGCCGTTGGTTCCGATTAGCCCAACAAGGTACCCCCGGCCCCATTGTCGCGATAAATCTAGGTCTCTAATCGTTTTCCCAGAGCTCCTCGGAATGCTTGCTGATTGAGGTACGTTCAATCCTCCCTTCTTCCGCGGTCGTATAGGTTGAATCTTGCGTTTATCGCGCCAACGAAGACCCCGGAGGGCAAAAGTGTACCCCACGCGTCATTGAACCAATACTGATATCGTCATGGGAGTTATGAGCCTCAACAGAAGTCGAGAAATCTGAGCGTAGTTACAAGGGACCACTCGATTGCACAGGGACCTCCACGAAAGATCATCGACATCATTGTCCTGCCGCTTGACTCCCCTATCAACACATTTCGAATCATATCCAACTTCCCCCTGTTCTCTCTGTCAGGAACCTCATCAAAGTTTGGTCAGGCTGGCGGCGTCTCGAAGGCGGCAAATCACAGACCCACAGATGTCGAGTTCCGCTATTCTCTGCTGTCAGACCCATATCATCTTGTCCATAGGAGGCTGCTAGCTGCTATACACATCTGTTTATTCACCCATCTAGCGGAAACAGGCTCTGCGGAGTGATATTTTGTCAACGGCGCTCCGACTTCAAACTCTCTCTTGACAGCCTCCGGCTCTGCGACGGCCGGGCCTGCCCGTCGCTTGGTTTTCGCACCGAGAGGAAAGAGTACAGAGAAATGCGTAGGAAATCGGATCCGAGTCCGTCGCAACTCGATGGGGAAGCGTTCCCCCCTTGGGACAGGGAATGTCAATCTGGGAGTTAATTTCCTCAATCTCTGTGAGCTTCTCGCCGACGTTCTTGATGAACCCAGTGGGTCAGAGCTGATCTCGGACACATTCGCTCAGGTTTTTCGAATATCCCTCACGGGTGTAATATCCGATCTTCCAGGACCCCTGGAGGTCGGGGGTTGATTACTTTTGCAAAGATACAGACTAATCGAAGACGCTTGTAAGATCCTCGTGGAACTCGAAAGGATTAAGCGAGGGCGCAGGCTCCGTGAAAACTCGCCGAGGTGGTCCTACGGGAGTGACTCTCTTAGACTTGGAGTTTCTTTTAACAGTGGGATTTTCGTATGAATCAAGGGGAGGCTACCCGGAGGCCTGAGAAGTTGATCGAGCGCCGTGAAATGTATGTAGCTTGATATGGGTGCTACCGTGGAGCGTCGCTTCTCTCATGAATATACACGGCGCACAGTGGATCAAAATGAGTTTCTAGGTGGACAAAATTATTTTTCGTGAAATTTCGCTTTGCGAAGTGTCTCCGAGTCGAGATATACAAGAAAAAACTGACCAATCACGGTTTAGGCGATCATAATACATTCTGTTATTTCTTAGAGTCAATAACAGAAATCACTCGGAGAGTCGCTTGAAATCTCCGTGTCATCCGTACATTCTGTGCTTGAAGTGTCATCATTGACTTCCGAGGACCCGACTTCAATCTCTGGGTCGACCCTCAGTAAAGCTGCTACTTCCGGGTCAACGCTCGATGACTATTTCTTCAGAGGTTCTCGAGTTTACCGCACCACTAGGAGTATGAATGCGAACTTTGCTTACACGAGCGGATACCGTTGCTGCAGTTCGCGCATGTGCTGCCGTTATCTGCACATTGAGGTGCAAACCGCGAACGTCCAACGATGGCGTCCAATAAAGGAATTCGGCGTTTTATGGTCTCTGTGCCTCAAGGAATTATGCTTCTCATTCGTGAATGGCGATTTTCATGGTGACGAAATAAATTATTATTCGGTAACCGGGTAAGACCGGGTGACAATATTTATTTTTCTGATTGCCGGAGGTCTGATGAGTGTCCCAGACTTGACAGCTCCCAGGGCCGCGAGGGGACACTATACTTTTGGTATTGCGAAGTTTGACGAAATTCGGAAGAATCCATGAGAGATATCACATCCTTCTAAGCAACCTCAAACATGTCTGATCCGGTCTGAATCTCGTTCAAACTTAAGATCCGGACGAGAACTGAGCTAGGAACGAACCTCCATCCCCGCCGGGAAGGGTGGAGTGGCTTCGTTTTTGAAATTCATTGATTAGAGGAAAAAGAGTCACATGATGCCCGAATTCAAACTTCTGATTCGGTAGTTGAGTATTCCGTAGCAGCAGCAGGAAATTCAGAGATGTCTATGGTTTTCCGACTTCCAGACATCGCTTTTCATGCCGAGCTATTAGTTTGTACGAAAATTTCGAGATGACTTTTGTCCACCTAAAAACTCATTTTGATCCACTGTGCGGCGGTCCGAGCTGCAGCACCCTTCTGGATCTCGTGGATCGAGTTCGATTACTCATCCCGAAAATGAGTCTCCTAGAACACCCAGCCGTGAGTTTCTCGACCGCGACTACTTCAGCCCAATCGGAGCGGTATCATGCTTCCTGGTGCTCATCCGCTCCTGGATTGAGGCTGCAGCCTACCAGAATGCCGAGTACAGTCTCGTGGAGGTTTTCCCCGCCGACCGATTTGCACCGGCGCATCGCTCGTCGGAAATCGATGAGGCCTGCTACGCGAACGAGGATTGCCTTCAACAGAATTTCGCACGGAAGCAAAGAAGCCGAAGGCATGAGCGCCGATTATTCAGTTCCATCCAGCACCGGCGGTGAGGGGCTCCTTAGGCGGACACTAGCAAGTTTTTTTTCAAAGACGCGGCCAACACGAGTATACGCAGTGTAAGCGTTCCAACCCTAGAGTTAGAGTCGGGCCCCGGGATACGTTCTTGGCCCACGGATCAACGCTGACCTACGAGATGCCTGCTTCGTCGAAATCGATGTGGGAGCCCTCTATCGTCTATCAAGTGAAAAATGAAAACATTAGGGATGCGTAACTTTCGGAGTGTATCCTGCGAAATTCCATTTATTAATTATTAGATTAGATCTTACTAAAGGCAATCTTTTCCTTGGAATCATAAGATAATGATAGATTTTCACAGCGAATGATGATCATAGTAGTATTAATGTATTCATCATTGTGAAAGCCTAGTCGCCGTCTTTGGTGGATCTACTTGGTGTTTTTTCAAATGGTAAAACATTGAACTCTTCAGTTTCACGACCCCGCAAACTTCGCATAGGGCCAGCTTCGCTTCGTCAACATCCTGATGCAGAACGCTGTGCTTGGTGAACATCTGATAACTCTTCGCCTCGTATGTGCAATCCGGACACTTCAAATTTGTGGGATTTCTCGAGGACGATCTCCTGAAATGAAAATATACAACCCCATGAAGCGATCATCTACTCATCAGGTAGCTACAAGAGCGGGAAAAGATCAGAGCATCCGACGACCAACATTCAGCCGCAGAACTCTAGAAGTCGCAGCTATTCGAACACATCTGCAGTCCTTCGAATACAAACCTTTTATCTGATGGAGCTTCAGCGGCGGATTGTCGTGACGAGGGCCTTCTCGGAGACGCCCTCGTACGACTCAACTGCGCGGCTTTCGAATCCAATGTCGTGAAGCTCTGACTCCGCTGTTTGGCCAGAGCGGCTTTCTTCAGCTTCAACGCCGCACCGAATTGTTGGGAGGGCCGGCCTTGCTTCTTCGCTGGTTTCTTGATCACAGACTCTTTGTTATGGTTAGTAGACGACTCACTCTTCAACGATGATACAGGCGGAGCGACCGGCGCGCTCTTGGTCAATCTCATCCGAACAGTTTTGACTGGTTGTTGGAGCTTCTTAGCAGGTGTAGCGTTTTTCTCGAAGAACTCGCGAATTTGCTCCGAGTTCCTATAACACTCTGAGATTTTCGTGCTGGAATCCCGATGAACCGAAACGAGATGGCTCTTAATAGTCGAGCGGTGAGCCGTGGCGAAGTTGCAGAACCTGCACAAAAAAGGGTCCTCGTTCGTTCCGTTGCTGTGACAGGCGATGGCGTGCCGTCGAAGAAAATGAAGTTGGGAAGTCTGGTAGTTGCAATCGGTACATTTGTGGAACACAACGGTCGAAGAAGTGTTCCTCGTGAACTCGGACTTGACTTTCGGAAGATCGGCATCAATCGTAGCCTCGTCGTCGTTCGACAAACGGCACCGCTCCACATCGAGTGTGGCCGCCTGCGCTTTCGCGGATATCTCGTTTAGACTCACAACAAAACTGCCCCGTGAGGAAGCACGCTCAGTGTCCGCATTCGACGCGGTCTCGGCCAGAAGGTCGTTACCGCCGGCAGGTACATCGGAATTATTGACTCCGCTGGGTCCAGCTTCGCCGTTGGTCAGGATCGGCGAAACTTCGTTGATGGCCCCGTTTCCGAGGAGAGAACTCTTCCTGCTCACAGTCGCTCCTCTAGCTAGATCGGACGAGGGCTTTTCCGTGTTTTCGAAATTCGCCTCGATATCGTGAACTTCCTTCAGATGCTTCTTGTACTCAGTGGATCCGTCGTTCTGACTGTAACTGTGCACGCAATGACTGCACGCGATTCTGGTGATATACTGCAGGTTCTCGTCCAAGTGCCGTCTGGCGAAATGTCTACTCATCACGTTCAGGGTCTTAAAACTGATATTTATGCATTTGGGGCAGTCGTATACGGGTTTGAAATGCTCCGAGTTCGCTCTCAGGTTCAGCGGCAGATTCTTTGGACTGGTTGTGTCGACTTCCGACTTGTGTCGGTTCCGATGGCTTCCGAGAGCCCCCCGGTTCTTCGAGGTGAAACCGCAGAGGTCGCAAACGTAAAGTTGGTCGTCCTTCGAAGCGTCTCGGATTTCGTCTTCAATCGGCGAGTTGATTTGTCTCTTTCTGGATTGGGTTTTCGCAACCGGGCGTGGTTTGGTATGTACTTGTATTTTGTGCGTGGCTAGCTCTACCGCTGAACTGGCAGTGAAGTCGCATTCGTTGCAATTCTCACTTAGGGAATACCGGCTGCTCGGAAGACCGCTGTCTCTGTGGGTTTCGTTTTCATTGGTCATCACCAACTTGGTCAGGGCGGCTGATATGTTGGGCGTCGATCTCGAGTCCGACGACTGAACGCTTGCCAGAGTCACGTTCTTCGTTAAGTTTTTCGAAGGTGAGACGGACGATCTCCGTCTGATGAGCGATCTCTTTTCCCGACTCCCGGTCGGGTCCTGATTCTCGGGCGACTCATTCGCGTCTCGGAGTCTCGGGATTTTCGCACAACTCGGACCCGCTTTCTCGACCTGCATGCTCGGGCTCCGTCCCTGTTTCTCTAGGCCGTTGGGGGTTCTCACGCATTGTTTCTCATGGGTTTCTGGCGTATCGGACCGCGGTTTGCTCAATATTCTCGCTCCGCTCGGCCCCGGTTGGTCTGAGATTGTTGCGTCTTGTATCCCCGCTCTTTCGGGAGTATCAGCGAATATCGGACCGATGGGGATCCTGTCGTGTGAGCTTTTCAAACTGTTCGATCCGGCAGGTTCGGACAGCTTCCGGCTGCGGGGACCCACCACTCTTCGGCTATTCGGTGTCTGCGCTCTCCCGTTCCGGTGGCCGTGCCCCGAAGTTAGAGCTTGGCTCGAAGCCGTAGCTCTGGTCACGCGGTTCGGTGCAACATTGTCCATGGCGATCTCCTCTGGTCGGATGTGGACTTTCGGTCGCTTCGGCTTCTGACTTTCGTTGTCATCGGAGTCGACGTATTGGGAGCTCTCGCTCCCGCTACGCTGACGCTCTTTCTGGGGTCGGTTCTGCGAGCCGAAGCCTTTTATGTGGAGTACGCGAGCGAGCTTGATCAGCCGCTCGGCAGACATCTCGTTGATGAAAACCTTGCCGCGGTACATGTACTCCAGAATCAGTTTGAAATCTTCAATTTTTACATCGGGCAGTGAGATCACAGAGTTCGCGCAGGCCGATTGACTCTGCACACACATGTTGTGGAAATACGAAGACGACAAAGCCAGCACGAGTTTGTGGGCTCTCACGGATCCGTTCTCGCAACACACGGTGACGTCGGTCAGGGTGCGCTGGTCCCTCCAGAACCAGTCGAGTTCTGCTCGGACGCTCTTGTCGAAGCCGTCCCAGAAGACCTCCATGACCCGGCCTTCGAAACCCGACATGGTGCTGAAATGGAAACTCCGTCGTGTGAGTTCGAATCTCGAAAAAGCTCCATGATGGTGGGAGAGGAATAAGAAGAGGCCCTGCAATCGACCATTATCGAGCGAGGAACTGAGGGATCTTCAGGAATCATCAGCGCTGTGAGCGCTGAGTCGGGCCCTCGACCCATGAGGTCGATAGTTCGACTTCAACACGGACAGGGATCTGTCGACTTCTTCTAGGGATATGTGGGATACGTGCTGGACAGGACGGTACGAGGCTGTTTGGAAACTCAGGTATCCGAAAAACCATCGGGGGCGACAACGGCGATCCCCGGAGCAGTCTTTGATCTCTTGAAAGATCGGGTAAGGTCGCGGCTTGAAAGCTCCGCACCGTCGACGATACGGCGACATTGTTCCCATAGAAGAAACTCCGGAGAAATATGAAACTTGATTCCACACGAAGCGTCGACAACGAGCGTGAAGCGAAAGAATGCGTCCGAATGGAAATTCGGAATCGATCGCACCGATCTCCAACAATATTACACACTAACGTGTCTCACTCCCTTCCACCATGATTCATCTGAACAACGTTCGTAACGAAGCACATCTGACGCTGGCGCGATAGAGTATTCGGAATCGATCTTCGAAATTTCTACCTCGTCATAGGTAGCCACCGACGATACTCGTAGACACGATCCCGATGACGTTAGCGTCAGACACACCTGAAGCTCGAAATTTGAAAATATCGAGCGTTTGGGGGTATTCGCAACGAATGAAAGAAGAGAACGAAGAGCATGCTCGTCAGCTCGTGTCGCAATCAGCTCCCGTAACGATCGGGAGCGGAGGTCTGATCGTAGCTCGTGATTCCACAAAATTGAAATCTCGGGTGACGGACTCCTTCGAAGCGATCAATGATTGGAGTTCCTTTCATGAAGCCAAGAACCTTAGATCTTAAGGTTCTACTTTCGTCCGAGGAATAGCTCCGGCCGTATACGGTTATAGCATGGAGTGTGCGAACGTGGCTTGGACGAGCAGGCTCGGGAATTTCAGCCCATGACTGCAGATTTCGAGTCTTGCAGCAATTCCAACAAGTCACTTGAGCTGATTTAGTCTTACAACGATGTGGTAGATAATCAGCAAGAGCTGATTGCTATCGAAATCATGAGAGAGTCCCGCTTGCGTCGTTGAATATTGAGGAATGTGATCCCGACATGGAGGGGGAACCCGAAAATACGCGTTCTCGGAACTTCAGAGTCACACCGGTCATGTCGTTTCCCGATTCCATTTCTAGCCGACGACTTCGTGACTGCCGGAACGTTTCGACGAAACCCGCCGGAAGCACGCCGCAGATTAGGAAGAATCCGTGAAATTCTTCTTCACGACTCAGGAGTCGGGAAATGGAAAAGAATCAGGAGAGAGTTTCCACGAGCATAAGTCGAAACACACCTCTATGAGCGATGGCTCGCCGTTGAGAGACTCAAGTTCCGGGGCCTGCAGGCTTGCAGACCTCTGGCTTGGGAGTCGATATGGGCAAGATGAGCGATCCCTGATTGATTTACGGTGACATAAGTGCCGACAGGAAGCGAATCTCCTCCCCAACTAACTGCACTGTTAACACGAACGAGACGGAACAGCCGAGTTTACTCTCGGCAACTCGCTTTAGTGTTCATGTGACGCGGTCGCCGGAACTCTCTGCTCTAACTAGATCCAAAACGAGCAGCGCCAACGCTTCCTGATTGGCTGATGTTTTGCGATTTCGCTGACAATTCAGCGCGAATTCGCCCCGCGAATCTTTTATGGAACCTAAAAAACTCGACCGATGTTATGGTATATTCGGTTTCTTGAATTATTGATTCTTCGAGTGTGATAGTCAGTCGTTATTTGCGACTCCCATGGCACGGGCCTGGGATTCCTCTCGGATCGGGTGACAGACCCGTTATGACGGGACGGAACCCGGCATTGCGACGGGATTCCCAGACTTCCGATGCCGGCCGCAGAGCAGATTCCAGCGCCAGAATTCGAAAAATGATAAAAGGGTTGCCCACTGCATTGCCTTATCCTCGGCTTCGACGATATAATAGCCTCTCACCACTCGATTTCCTCCCCTCGAAGACTGCTGAGCTCGCTCGAGAGATCTATTGTTCTGAAACATCAACGGGAAGTCTACTTCGATGTTCAATGAAGATTTGTACATTGAAAGATCACGGGATCTCGGGAGAGATACTTCCAATTCGATAATCACGAGGAACACTCCACTGGCAAACAGCGACAACGCGAACAGGAAAAACGGTATCCGCATCTCGAGAGTTGAGGGAGAGGCTCGGGATTGAATCGCGAGGAAGAAGAAGTGTTGAAATATTATACCCGGAGTGAAGACTCGGAACCCGGACCCGGTTGGCGCGAGCTCGAGGAGGACATGGCTCCACCGAGTATCCAAACGGTCGACCCGGTGTTTGAATCCGAGCTCCCGAGTCTCGGACGTGGCCGGATCTCGGGAAACTCGCTCTATGAAGGGAAGGTCCGGCAGCGAATCGATTTCTGTCCTGAAAGCAACTTTGAAACGATTCAGGCATCATTATCGCAGATATGCCCAGCATGAATTGAAGATCGATCACCGAATGGAGCCTCTCACGACTTTCCTCCCCCATGGAAGCTTCCTCGCTCGTAGATAGTATACGCCCCTGAAATGTGAGTACCGTATTCAGTCGCTCGGCTCATGTGCAATGACCTTGGGAGGGCGACCGAGTACTCCCCTGGAATCGTATAAAGTACGTGTGTCCAGTGGTGTTCCGACTCGACAAGCTTGCTGCCTCTCTTCCTAGGGGGACTTCCCACCACGGGGTTTGGCTAGGAGAAGACGAGTCTCTTAGCACACGGTCTCAGCTTCCATGCGAGCTCCCTAGATAGCCGAAAGGCAGCCTAATGCGTAGCCCGTTGGCTGCATGAATGCAGATTTGCTGGGTCTTTGTTCCCTTTGCGACCGGGTCGCTGCTCCCGACTGGAACCTAGGATGGCGGTCCCCTTGGGATCTCATTGATGGCCATTCCCTTCTGGCAGATTTCGCCGCCCGTAGTGACCGGAGCTCGCGCCCTTCTCCGAGGGACCTCTTTTGCGAGAAAGTCTTGTCGCTCGATCAGCGACATTCCCGGCCTCCGGAATCTGTGCGACGTACGATGATACACCGGATTTGTCGACATAGTAGGTGATCTCTGATAGGAACTACGGTTGGACGAATGAGTCTGGAAACCCTCGAATGTCCGAATGTCGAGACCCGTGCAGCTCCCAGGGGTCCTGCTCTCTTGTATGCTCGAATCACACAGGTATCCATGGAATCGATCCGTGCGGAGAAGAAACGCATGGTGCACACCGAAATGACTTCGACCGTGATGATGGAGTATAACGGGGCAGAGAGAACTAAGGATGCAAAGTACTCGGGAGGAAACTTCTTACTGAGTCAGTACATCTGTAAGCCCTATTGAGCCGCAGAGAATCCACGGAGGAAAATTTAGCCGAGACATAAGGTAGGAGAGATGGTCTTCTGTCCCCGTGAAACTCATTCCTCATCACTAGAGATTCGAATTCGAGGCAGAATGCCATAGGTGCCTGGAAATGTCAGAAGTCGAGGTTTCCCGAGTACCATGCTTATTGCTGAAAGTCCTGCAACTTTTCGCGTTTTTTGAAGCTTCATTGGACATTTTCGTTCGAAAAGTGCTTTCGAGATAGGATTTCCGAATTCGATGGCGAAGTCGCCACCCCGAGTTTATAGCTTAGTGAGCCGGAGTGCACAATGGAACGGGTGTTCGACCCCCGCGAGCCGATGACTTCCATGGATATGGATTTCATTGTCCTAATCGAAAGTCGTTATTGAGTGGGCTTCTCTTGCTCCTCATTCCGAATACCTTTATTTGCCTCTTTTCCCGATGTCCCTGCTTGAAGTGCCTTTTTTCCTTTGATTTTTAGTGCCTTTCGGCCGCCTATCTCCCAGTTTTTCGGTGCCTTCCTGCCTGCCTTTTTCTCTGTTTTTTGGTGCTTTAATTTTCAATCTCTACTCGTCGCTCACGGGCTCCGGGTGAGGAGAACCTCGGTGCAACGGAAATCGGAAGGCGTACGACGTTCCCGCACCTACACCGGCGACGAGGTCCCCGTATGCTTGGTCCGGAAACCGGAGAACAGAAATCAAAAGGAGAAAATGGTCCCATCCGTGAACAGAGACCCTGGACAAGGCCTGGAAAAATCCCGAATAGGTGCCTAGGGACACGCTCGGATAGTCGCTTTCGAGCACCTCTCCTGTTCGGGCAGCTCTGGATCCCTCTGACCGGCATCAGGGATCGAACCCACACCGCCTCCCGCGCGAAAAATATGCAGGTACTCGGCCTTGATCCTCCTGAGTACATTTGCTCTATGGATCCGTCCTCGGAAGCAATGTGAATAACAGTACCCGGGACGTTAAACCTTGGCTGTGTGGATCAGCCCGAAAAAGTTTTTGGATCCCTCTGACCGGTGACTTGCCTCTTGCCAGTCAAACACTGACTGTATCGAATTGTCTTCCACCATTAAGGGGAAACGAAATGTCCCGTATCCCGTATTATTCAAATCAAAAAAACCTCAACATCGGAGTCGGATCGAATCCCCTCTCCCTGACGTTTCTGAGGGAATGCTGAATTCTACTTTCTACCTCTGTCGTGTCCCTTAACTTCATTCAGAAGAGGGAGGGAGCGCAGCGATGGTATTAAGAACACCTGATACTTTGTGTTAAAAAAGAGGTTTATTGGAAAAAAGAGAAAAAACTTGATGAAATATATTTTACAATTTGTTTCCGACTTCGTTCATCTCATTCAACCCCATCATCCTTGTCATGCTCGTGTTATCTATACCTCCGTGGCTCGATCCATTTATCGGGTGAGGGGACAGCCATTGCGTTCGTGATCTTGGAATCTTCCTTCCATTCACGTCGCGTCGTCGCTTCATCAATATCTGATTTCTGCTCCGAGCTCTGCGCGGTCGAGACGCTTACGGATGCC